AAATCTTGTGAAAGTAATTTATCGGCTTCATCCAAAACAATGACTCGACATGCATCAATTTTAGCTATATCTTTTTTAACTAAATCTAATAAACGGCCAGGTGTAGCAATTAAAATATGAACAACTTCTTGTAAACGTGCAATATCTTCGCGTAATAATGTGCCACCAGTTGTTACCATAACACGTAGATGAATATGTTTTGAGAGTTCCATACATATAGAACTTGTTTGTAATGCCAATTCACGTGTTGGAACTAAGATAACTGCTTGAATTGCATTTTTAGTTGGATCAATTCGTTCGACGATGGGAATAGTATAGGCACCTGTTTTGCCTGTACCATTTTTTGCGCGTGCAAGAACATCACGGCCAGTTAAGGCAATAGGAATTGAGTGTTCCTGAATAGGGGATGGTTTTTCCCAACCCTTTTCATAAATGCCTAGAATTTGAGAAAACAAACGACATGTTTTTTTTCTGTATAAGAGAAATTTCTTATGATGATATTTACCCATAAGTAATTCGCGTTTAAGACAGTAATCTTCAAAATCATGTCCACTTGTATTGGTAACATCCGATGTTCTAGCACGACGATCTATTTCTGGAATATTTAGTTTTGATTTCCAATCTGGATCATCTTTGTTAATGGTTGATGCAGCGGCATTTCCATTATTCATTTTATTATTATCGTTACCATCGATGACTGATGTTGTATTTGCGGGAAAATTTGTTGCGGAAAATGGTGAAGAAGATGAGGCTTTGCCTCCTGATGGTGGTGCACCAATCATAATTAAATGATAGGATATGAAAACAATTTAACGGACGGGAAGAGAAGAAAATATATGTACAATTTCAAACAAATATTCTCTCAAAATATAAATAAAGAAGGTATGAAAGAAGTTTGAAATAGATATATTCAATGTAAATCGAAGAAAATCTTTTTTTTTTTTTCGTTTATCTAAAGAATAAAATCATTTTGTTTTTGTATGTTTTTATAAAATCGCAAGGAAAAAAAAGTAATAATAATAAAACAATTAGAGAATCTAAAGTTTTTCTTGTTGTTTGTGTTTTTTTTAATCCATCATAGAACAATACAATAAAAAAGAGAACGTTGTAATCACAATGATATGCAAAAGAGAAAAAGAGAAATGAAGAAAAAAAAACGATAAAATTGTGCATACATCATATCTGAGTTTTTTGTTGTTTGACTAGTAAAACATACAGAAAAGAAGAGAAGAAAAAAAACAATTATCTGACTGTTCATTTCTCTGTTGGACGTTCATCATTTGATTGTTCAATGGCTGGTGATTTAGCGACATATAAATCTTCTTCAATTTGACGTGGAATTGGTAAAATTTCGGTACCTAATTCTTGTTCGATTTTGTGAACAGCAAATCGATCTTCGTGAGTGATAAGACTTATTGCAAGACCTAAGTGACCAAAACGACCTGAACGACCAATACGATGGCTATAGAAATAAAAACAAGAAAAATTTGTAAAAAATAAAATTTTAAACTACAAATCTTACAGATATGTTTCACTGAAACGAGGAAAATCAAAATTAATTACAACATTAACTGCTTGAATATCAATACCACGGGTAAATAAATCCGAACATACAAGATTACGACAAAGACCAGT